TAAATGTGTCCCAGAGATTCTGGCATGTTGTGTCTTCGTTCTCATTGGTTTCGAAGAACTTCTTTATTTCTGCCTTCATTTCATTGTTTATTCAGTCAGCATTCAAGAGCCAGTTGTTCAGTTTCCATGAAGCTGTGCGGTTCTGGGTTGGTTTCTGAATTCTGAGTTCCAACTTGATTGCACTATGGTCTGAGAGGCTGTTTGTTATGATTTCAGTTGTTTTGCATTTGCTGAGGAGTGCTTTACTTCCAATTATGTGGTCAATTTTAGAGTAGGTGTGATGTGGTGCTGAGAAGAATGTATATTCTGTGGATTTGGGGTGGAGAGTTCTGGTATCAGAATGATGTTGGTCTCGTAAAATGATTTGGGAAGTATTCCCTCTTTTTGGATTGTTTGAAATAGTTTTAGAAGGAATGGTACCAGCTCCTCTTTGTGTGTCTGGTAGAATTCGGCTGTGAACCCATCTGGACCTGGGCTTTTTTTGTGTGGTAGGCTCTTAATTGCTGCCTCGACTTCTGATCTTGTTATTGGTCTATTCATACTTTCAGCTTCCTCCCGGTTTAGGCTTGGGAGGACACAGGAGTCCAGGAATTTATCCATTTCTTCCAGGTTTACTAGTTTATGTGCATAGAGTTGTTTGTAATATTCTCTGATGCTGGTTTGAATTTCTGTGGAATCTGTGGTGATTTCCCCTTTATCATTTTTTATTGCATCTATTTGGTTGTTCTCTCTTTTCTTTTTAATCAATCTGGCTAGTGGTCTGTCTATTTTGTTGATCTTTTCAAAAAACCAGCTCTTGAATTTATTGATTTTTTGAAGGGTTTTTCGTGTCTCAATCTCCTTCAGTTCAGCTCTGATCTTAGTTATTTCTTGTCTTCTGCTGGGTTTTGTAAATGTCTATCAGGTTTGCTTACTCCAGGTCTGAGTTCAAGTCCTGGATATCCTTGTTGATTTTCTGTCTGGTTGATCTGTCTAATATTGACAGTGGAGTGTTAAAGTCTCCCACTATTATTGTGTGGGAGTCTAAGTCTCTTTGTAAGTCATTAAGAACTTGCCTTATGTATCTGGGTGCTCCTGTATTGGGTCCATATATGTTTAGGATCGTTAGCTCTTCTTGTTGTATCGATCCTTTTACCATTATGTAATGGCCTTCTTTGTCTCTTTTCATCTTTGTTGCTTTAAAGTCTATTTTATCAGAGATGAGAATTGCAACTCCTGCTTTTTTTTGCTCTCCATTTGCTTGGTAAATCTTCCTCCATCCCTTTATTTTGAGTCTTTGTGTATCCTTGCATGTGAGATGGGTTTCCTGAATACAGCACACTGATGGGTTTTGGATTTTTATCCAATTTGCCAGTCTGTGTCTTTTGATTGGTGCATTTAGTCCATTTACATTTAGGGTTAATATTGTTATGTGTGAATTTGGTACTGCCATTTTGATGCTAAGTGGCTGTTTTGCCCGTTAGTTGTTGTAGATTCTTCATTATGTTGATGCTCTTTAGCATTCAGTGTGATTTTGGAATAACTGGTACTGGTTGTTCCTTTCTATGTGTAGTGCCTCTTTCAGGAGCTCTTGTAAAGCAGGTCTGGTGGTGACAAAATCTCTGAGTACTTGCTTGTTCGCAAAGGATTTTATTTTTCCTTCACTTATGAAGCTCAGTTTGGCTGGATATGAAATTCTGGGTTGAAAGTTCTTTTCTTTAAAAATGTTGAATATTGGCCCCCACTCTCTTCTGGCTTGTAGTGTTTCTGCCGAGAGATCTGCTGTGAGTCTGATGGGCTTCCCTTTGTGGGTGACCCGACCTTTCTCTCTGGCTGCCCTTAGTATTTTCTCCTTTATTTCAACCTTGTTGAATCTGATGATTATGTGCCTTGGGGTTGCCCTTCTTGTGGAATATCTCTGTGGTGTTCTCTGTATTTCCTGCATTTGAGTGTTGGCCTGTCTTACTAGGTGGGGGAAATTTTCCTTGATGATGTCCTGAAGAGTATTTTACAGCTTGGATTCATTCTCTTCGTCCCCTTCTGGTACACCTATCAAACGTAGATTAGGTCTTTTCACATAGTCCCACATTTCTTGGAGACTTTGTTCATTCCTTTTTGCACTTTTTTCTCTGATCGTGGTTTCTCGTTTTATTTCATTGAGTTGATCTTCGCAGATATTCTTTCTTCTGCTTGGTCAATTCGGCTATTGAAACTTGTGCATGCTTTGCGAAGTTCTTGTATTGTGTTTTTCAGCTCCTTTAGTTCATTCATATTCCTCTCTAAGTTATCCATTCTTGTCATCATTTCCTCAAATCTTTTTTCAAGGTTCTTAGTTTCTTTGCATTGATTTACAACATGTTCTTTTAGCTCATGGAAGTTTCTCATTATCCATCTTCTGAAGTCTAATTCTGTCATTTCATCACAGTCATTCTCCGTCCAGCTTTGTTCCCTTGCTGGTGAGGAGTTTTGGTCCTTTCTAGGAGGTGAGGTGTTCTGGTTTCGGGTGTTTTCCTCCTTTTTGCGCTGGTTTCTTCCCATCTTTGTGGATTTATCCACTTGTCGTCTGTGTAGTTGCTGACTTTTCGATTGGGTCTCTTAGTGGACACCCAGATTGTTGGTGATGAAGTATTTCTGTTACTTGGTTATCCTTCTACCAGTCTAGCCCCTTCACTGTACGACTGCTGAGGTCCACTCCAGGCCCTGCTTGTCTGGGGTACACCTATAGCAGCTGCAGAACAGTGAGGGATGCTACCAGTTTCTTTTTCTGCTATCTTTGTCCCAGGATAATGCCTGCCAAATGTCAGTCTTTGGATATAGAGGGGTCAGGGAGCTGCTTGAGGAGACAGTCTGTACTTTATAGGCGCTCAGTTGCTGAGTTGTGAGCTCTGTTGTTCATTCAGTGCTGTTAGGCTGCTATGTTTGATTCTGCTGCAACAGAGCTCATTTTAAAACCCCTTTTTTTCTCAAATGCTCTGTCTTAGGGGTTGGGGCTTTGTTTTTGGATGTCTGTTGAGGTGTCCTGCCCAGCTAGGAGGCAGTCTAATCACTATTTGACTGCCAAGGCTGCGCCCTGCTGTTTTGAGGCTCGCCCTTTTGCTGCAGGCTCTTGCTGTTCTGCTGTGTTCTCCACCACGGGCTACGCCCTGCAGCGGAGTCTCTCTGTTGTAGCGGGTTGCCTCGGCAATGGCAGGCTGCGGGCGTGTATCTCAGTAGGGGCGGGTTGCCTTGGCAACTGCAGGTTGCGTCAGCAGTGGGCGTGTGTCTCAGTCGGGGCAGGTTGCCTCGGTAATGGTGGACGCCCCTCCCGCACGGATCGCCTCAGGGATGGTCTCCACGGCGAGCGTTTGGAATCGCCATTTTGTCTGTCCCACTGCGCTATCCCACACGCTGTGTCCCTGCAATCCCCTGGGCTGGCCCACTGTCCAAGTCCCTTTCAGTCTCGAGTTCAGCCCTCTCAAGTCTCAGGTTGCCATTTCAACAGGGCACCCGGACAAGCACTCCCTGTGGGGATCGCTGGGTAGGGCCGGCCTCCGCCACCCCGGCTGCCGGCTTCTCCAGGCAGAGCCTCTGCCTGGTGTCCCGCATCTCCTTTATACTTGGGAATTTCCCCGTTCTGTGGGCAACAAAGATCAGTCTGAAAATGCAGCTTTGACTCACCTCTCCGCGGATTAACTGAGAGCTTAAATCCTGGGTTGTTGTCACAGCGCCATCTTGAGTTCCTCCTCCGCAAGAAGGCTTTTGTAGTCATATCTACTAACTTGGAAAGACATTTACATTATTGTGAAAAGGAAAAATATGTTAATATGTATAGTAGTATTTTTGTTAAATACTTTAAAAATTCATGTATACATTTGCATGTTTGTGACATCATATTAAGTCTGGAAAGATTCATGCAAAATTATTTACATTGATGGATAGAGCTGGAGATGTGGAAAGTACTTTCCCTAGAGGACTTCTGTCTGGGTAGTAAACCATCACATTATTATCACTCTCTGAGATTTGAATCGTCAGGGATTTAACTATCACTTCTGTTTTGGTGACTCTCCAGGTGAGCACACCCTGATACCCATTTTAATATCTAAAATCAAACTCTTTTACCTCTAACTATTTCTTCTCAGAACGTTTTTGGTTTCATCTGTTAAATAAAATTGTATTTAATTTTGATCCTTCTTCAACAGCAGTTAGAGAAAAATAACCAAACATTGATACCTCTCTAAATTCTAACATTTATTTCTTTGTCTTCCTTTTTTCTCCCTCGCTTCCCCCATCACCAACACCTAGTTAAGGACTTCGTCTTTACTGTGTGAACCTTTATTTTGTTTTAACTTTTTCATTCGTTATACACGCACTGCCAGATTCATATTGTCAACCTTTTTCAATATACCTGATTCTTACCTAAGGAACAACAGCAAAGCTTCATTTGTCTTCATTCTGTCCACAGGGTAAAAATCACCTCTTAGTAGAAACAGGCTAAATGTCATCAGAGGTTTGTTTCGATAAGTTATGGCATAATATATACAATGGAAGAACAGACAACCTATTCAAAAGAAAATTCTATTTCCTGTGAACTGAAAAAAATCTCTAAGATACATCAAGTGGTGTCAAGATATATTAAGTGAGAAAAATGAAGCGCACAGCAACCTATAGCGAGCTGCCTGTGTGTGTGTGTGTGTGTGTGTGTGTGAGTGCGCGCATGTGTGTGTGCGTATGTGTGCATGCATGATGCAGTGGATACACAGGAAGCTGGGCGCAGCAGTTACCTCTGGAAAGGGAGGTAGTGAGGGAGATTCATTTTGCTTTCTGTTCTTTTTCAAAGGAGAGAACTTTTAAATCTTATGCCAGGTTTACATATCACCTGTTAAAATAATTCATGATGACTTCTGTAATAGATGTTTATAAGTAGCACATTTTTACTATTGCTTATGAGTTGTTCTTTTGTTCTCACGTCTAAAGAATAGTTTGAAATTAACTAAAAGTAGTTGCTTTAACAGATGGTCTTAAAATGGGTGTTTAATCTTCAGGTTCCTGGGCTATATAAGTCTAGTTCTGCAGACTCTCTTTCTACAACCAAGATCAAACCTCTAGGACCTGCCAGAGCCAGTGGGCTGAGCAAGAAGCCAGCAAGCGTCCAGAAGAGAAAGCATCATAATGCTGAGAACAAGCCGGGATTACAGATAAAACTCAATGAGCTCTGGAAGAATTTTGGATTTAAAAAGTGAGTTACCTTGTTTCTTATTCTGAAACAAGATAAACTATTATTTTCTGTAATTTCCACCCCTTTCTCCCAACTCTTTCTAGTTTCATATGAGTCCATTTTTGTTTCTCTCACTATAAAATAATTATTTTTCTGTCTTTCTTTTAGCTGACTCTGTACACTTAATTTCAGTTTCTATACCTTCTTTTCATAAAAGATGGCAAACTAAAAAACCAGTTTTCAGTCTGGTTTTGGAGTCTCTCTGATGTTAAGCAAATTACTTTTCTAGGCCTTAAGTGTCTTGCCTTCCTTTTCTTGTCTCTCAGGATTGTAATCAGAGTAAAATTTTAAATAAGAGGTAGAAGTAAAGTGCTATTTCACACTTCTCTAATTTATCATGTCTAAAATGGGGAGAATCATTTCGTTTATATGATTAATTTGCCAGATTTGCAGTATATGTGGCCAGCACTGTTTTAAAAGAATTAATCTGGCCGGGCGCGGTGGCTCAAGCCTGTAATCCCAGCACTTTGGGAGGCCGAGGCGGGTGGATCACGAGGTCAACAGATCGAGACCATTCTGGTCAACATGGTGAAGCCCCGTCTCTACTAAAAATTACGAAAAATTAGCTGGGCACGGTGGCGCGTGCCTGTAATCCCAGCTACTCAGGATGCTGAGGCAGGAGAATTGCCTGAACCCAGGGGGCGGAGGTTGTGGTGAGCTGAGATCGCACCATTGCACTCCAGCCTGGGTAACAAGAGCTAAACTCCGTCTCAAAAAAAAAAGAAAAAAAAAAAAAAGAATTAATCTGCTGGGCGTGGTGGCTCACGCCTGTAATCCCAGCACTTTGGGAGGCTGAGGTGGGTGGATCACGAGGTCAAGAGATCAAGACCATCCTGGTCAATAAGGTGAAACCCCGTCTCTATTAAAAATACACAAAATTAGCTGGGCATGTTGGTGCACGCCTGTAGTCCCAGCTACTCAGGAGGCTGAGGCAGGGGAACTGCTTGAACCCAGAAGGTGGAGGTTGCAGTGAGCCGAGATCGTGCCATTGCACTCCAGTCTGGGTAACGACAGCGAAACTCCGTCTCCAAAAAAAAAAAAAAAAAGAAAAAGAAATAGACATTTAAAAATACTTATTTTAAAATAACAATCAGCCTATTACCTGTGAATATAGATAGTACTTTTTCTTTTAAGAGATGGGGTTTCACCATGTTGGGCCAGGCTGGTCTCGAACTCCTGTCCTCAGGTGATACACCCACCTCAGCCTCCCAAAGTGCTGGGATTACAGGTGTGAGCCTCCATGCCCGGCCAGTAGATAGTACATTTTAAAAATAAGTAGCTATATTTAACAAATCCCCTCAAAAAGTGAGAAGAGTGGTATGGTTTTACATTTCATTTTGCAGATCTTTACTGTCTGCTTTAATAGAACTCAGCTAGATTCTTATATCTGCTTCTGCGTTTGATCTGTTAGGATTGGGTGTTTTGATTATATGAAGGGAATAGACATATTTGCAGTTAGGAAATAGATCTTTTGAAGCCTTTTCAGATGATGGTAAATTTTCTTCTTTGGGATTATACCCAAACTCAACAACTTGTAGTTTCTTAAGGTTAGTGGTAGTGTAGAATATGAAGCCATGTCAGCTGCCTCTTTATACTCTGTGTTACATTACGGTCCACTGGCGCACCTTTCTTCTGTTGCCTAGGCTGGAATGGCACAGTCACGGCTCACTGTACCCTCGACCGCCTGAGCTCAAGCGGTCCTCCTGCCTCGGCCTCCTGAGATGCTGGGACTATAGGCGTGTGCCACCACCCCCAGTTTGATTTTTTATTTCAGGTGTGAACCACTTTGCCTGGCATACACTGGTGTAGTTCTAATGCATCTTTTACATGTAACATCGTGATTTGGTCATTTGGAAGATATTGGTTCATTGAGATGTACTTCCAAATACTGACATATTTTATTATACAATATAAGAAAAAAGTTGGTCAACAAAACCTTTAATATTGGAAAATTGTTATGTGGCAGATATGTTTTCCAAAATTTTAATTTTCACTTGGAAGCTTGAATTTTATCATTAGCAACAAATACTGTTAGTTGTTTTTCTTTAAAGTTAACAGGCTCTCTCTGTTCATTTTATTTGTTTGTTTGTTTATTTCTTTATATTGAGACAGAGTCTCTCTGTCACGCAGGCTGGAGGGCAGTGGTGCAATCTCAGCTCACTGCAGCCTCTGCCTCCTGGGTTCAAGCGATTCACCTGCATCAGCCTCCCAAGTAGCTGAGATAAGGTTTTGCCATATTGGCCAGGCTGGTCTTGAACTTCTGACTTCAGGTGATCCACCTCCCTCAGCCTCCCAAAGTGCTGGGATTACAGATATGAGCCACTGTGCCCAGCCCTTCTTTGTTCATTTTAGAGAAGTCCTGAAGGACCTTAGTGTCACACATGCTTTTACTTGAGATAAACTATCTACTTCCATACATAATAGAAGTGTTGTGTTTTGCTTTCCATTTTGTCAGCGAATATTAAAAAGTATACCAGGCTGGGCACGGTGGCTCATGCCTATAATCCCAGCACTTTGGGAGGCCGAGGCAGGTGGATCACAAGGTCAAGAGATCGACAAGGTGAAACCCTGTCTCTACTAAAAATACAAAAATTAGCTGGGCATGGTGGTGCACCCCTGTAGTCCCAGCTACTCGAGAGGCTGAGGCAGGAGAATTGCTTGAACCCAGGAGGCGGAGGTTGTAGTGAGCCAAGATCGTGCCATTGCACTCCAGTCTGGGTAGCAAGAGCGAAACTCCCATCTCAAAAAAAAAAAAAAAGTATACCAAAGAATCCAAAGAATTAGCCAAGGCCGAGCACAGTGGCTCACGCCTGTAATGCCAGCACTTTGGGAGGCTGAGGCTGGAAGATCAGTTGAGGTCAGGAGTTTGAGACCATCCTGGCCAGCATGGTGAAACCCAATCTCTACTTAAAATACAAAAATTAGCCGGGCGCGGTGGCTCACGCCTGTAATCCCAGCACTTTGGGAGGCCGAGGAGGGTGGATCATGAGGTCAACAGATCGAGACCATCCTGGTCAACATGGTGAAACCCCGTCTCTACTAAAAATACCAAAAAATTAGCTGGGTATGGTGGTGCTTGCCTGTAATCCCAGCTACTCAGGAGGCTGAGGCAGGAGAATTGCCTGAACCCAGGAGGCGGAGGTTGCGGTGAGCCGAGATCACGCCATTACACTCCAGCCTGGGTAAGGAGCGAAACTGCGTCTCGAAAAAATAAATAAATAAAATACAAAAATTAGACGGATGTAGTAGTGCGTGCCTGTAGTCGCAGCTACTTGGGAGGCTGAGGTAAGAGAATTGCTTGAACCTGGGAGGTGGAGATTGCAGTGAGCCAAGATCGCAGCACTGCACTCCAGCCTGGGCGACAAAGCGTGACTCTGTCTCAAAAAAAAAAAAAAGTGATTTGTTCCTGCTTCATTTATATTGCTTCTTAACCAGATTTGAGAGTCCACTAAGGAGAAAAGAATTAAAGTATTGGAATCACTCTGCCTTAGCTCATACAGCTAGTGGTGGCCCAGCACCTACACCAATGGTGATTTTGAAAGCAAGAAGAGATGCTAAGAAGTGAGACCCAAAATGTGTTGGAGGTGCTTAAAGGCGAACCTGATTGTGTGATATCATGAACTCAAAGGGACTGTATAGCAAAGGGTCTCATGCTCTTCATATCCCTCTATTTTGTCCAGGTAGAATATGTTTTTCCTCTAATAATCAGCACCCTAAAAATGCCCGATTTATGTTATTGTGTTTTGCAGAGATTCTGAAAAGCTTCCTTCTTCTAAGAAGCCCCTGTCCCCAGTCAGGGATAACATCCAGCTGACTCCAGAAGCGGAGGACGATATATTTAACAAGCCTGAATGTGTTCGCGTTCAAAGAGCAATGTTCCAGTGAGTGCAGACGGCTGTGCGGCTTCTGCCCTCGAGAGAACCGGATCAATCTGAAGTCCCTGTTCGGGAATGAGACGCTTATCAGCCTAAAGGATTTTTTCCTTAGTCCTGTGCCGTTTTAAAAATAGAATACATTTTATATATTAACTTCGTAATTGGGTGGGTTTTTTTGCTCAGCTTTTTATATTTTTATAAGAAGCTAAATAGAAGAATAATTGTATCTGGCAGGTTTTTGGAAGTTTTAATGTTAATTGGGAAAATCCCCTCGAGTTTATGAAAATCGACTCTAAATATTCCTGTGATGTTGTCAAGTAGAAAGACAGGAAATGGAGAAACCACAGTCCTAGAGGAAACCACTGTATTTCTCCAGGCTTTAAAGTTTTCCACTTGCCTTTCCTGTCCTACCTTCAGGGATACATTGAAAATAAAGTTGTTGGAGCTGGGCACAGTGGCTCACACCTGTAATCCCAGCACTTTGGGAGGCTGAGGCAGGTGGATCACCTGAGATTGGTTCACCTGAGGTCAGGAGTTCAAGACCAGCCTGACCAACATGGTGAAACCCCATCTCTACTAAAAATACAAAAATTAGCCAGATGTGGTGGCTGGTGCCAGTAATCCCAGCTACTTGGGAGGTTGAGGCAGGAAAATTGCTAGAACCTGGAAGAGGTTGCAGGGAGCTGAGATTGCACCACTGCACTCCTGCCTGGGGGTCAGGGCGAGACTGTCTCAAAAAAAAAAAAAGAAAGAAAGAAGAAAATAAAGTTGTTGAGATGGGAGGGGCAATTGCAAGGGTTAAAGATAATTACACATATGAGACAATACTCTCTTATTCCTGAAGGGTTTGGTTGGATTATAGGTTGACACTGGAGGAAAATTTTCAGCCTCATATGAAAGGAAGAACTTCTTATATCATTCATATTTTTAAACTTCAAAATAGGCTCAGTTTTAATACATACTTTTTGAAGTGTGAGCTAAGGCTTCCTTAACATACATTTAAAACTAGTCTGCTAAACACTACATCAGATACTAAAGCTGCAAGGTCTGTGACGTACTCTGAAAAGAAATGGGCAGATGCCTGGAAAGAGAACCAGCTACACAAGTGAGGCTCCGAAGTGACAAGAAGTAAAGGAATTATAAAAGTGTGAGACTCAACGCCTGTAATCCCAGCACTTTGGGAGGCCGAGGTGGGTGGATCCTGAGGTCAAGAGATCGAGACCATCCTGGCCAACATGGTGAAACCCTGTCTCTGAAACTACAAAAATTAGCTGGGCATGGTGGTGTGCGCCTGTAGTCCCAGCTACTTGGGAGGCTGAGGCAAGAGAATTGCTTGAAGCCGGGAGGCGGTTGCAGTGAGCTGAGATTGCCCCACTGCACTCCAGCCTGGGCAACAGAGTGAAACTGTCTCAAAAACAAAACAAAACAAAACAAAAACAGTATTTGTGATATACCCGTATTTATATTTTTAAGTGAGACTTGGTAGAGGATTCTAGAAATCAGAATGGAATAAAAACTGAACTAAAGCTATTTAAAAATAAAAACCAAGAACCAAAAAGGCCCGATCTGGAAAATCCTAATCCAAAGAACAAAAGCAGATTTGAATTCTCTATGCATGTTTCCTGTTATAAAACAAATTAGGAATGTGACTCAAACATTGTCTACAAATATTTATGTCCTCACTCACTAAAAATGCTATTTAAGTGACAGCAAAGAAATAAGACATAAATCCATAAGGGTTAGCAGAATGAAAGAAGAGATCAGGCATAGAAACTGATGGATTAGCAGTAAGTGATTTAACAAAGAAATGATCGTTGTCAGTGGCAGAAGACAAGAAGAGGTGAAAGTCTGGATACGCTTGGGAAGTGAAGATATGCAGATTCCTCTAAAGCCAGAGGTACAGAATAAGGCTGGAAATAGGATCGATTTGGGAAATCTTTAAAAATAGTGTGGGAGGGCCAGGCACGGTGGCTCGAGCCTGTAATCCCAACAGCGTAGGAGGCCAAGGCAGGCAGATCATGAGGTCAGGAGATCGAGACCATCCTGGCCAACATGGTGGAACCTCATCTCTACTAAAATACAAAAAATTAGCCAAGTATGCCGATGCACCCCTGTAGTCCCAGCTACTCGGCTGAGATGGGAATCACTTGAATCCTGGAGGCAGAGGTTGCAGTGAGCCAAGATAGCACCCACCGCACTCCAGCCTGGCAACAGAGGGAGACTCCATCTTAAAAAAAAAAAGAAAGTGTGGGAGAAGGGGAAGATGGCTGCGGTGCCACAGTTTTCTGTCCCCAAATCATATAGCAACTGGACAGCAAAATCAAAAATCCATGAACAACATCAGTGGGTGAAGATAGCCACAGACCACAAACTGGCATTGGCATCAATTCAGGTGAGGCAGAGTGAGGAAATAGCATCTAATGGCCTGAGAACAGAGCCTTAGGGTCATTGTTGAAACAGCAGGCCAAGCTGAAAACAGCACTCAAGTGGGAGAGGCTTTGCACATTTCAAAGGTGGGTGAGTTCAAGGGGCCTGTGTTAAGGTCTGAAGGACTGAAGCAAGCTAGCCCCTAGGAAGTATTAAAACTGATTTGCACAGTTCACCAACGCTCTCTTCCAGGACGGGGTTCCCCACAGAAGAGAAGCTGCTGGGGTGAAGCTGAATTGAGCAAGAGAAAGGTGAACAGAAGGTCCAAATATAAGTAGAATAGGGAATAGTCAATCAGAAACTCTTAGCAGATACTAGTTTTGCACACTTAAGAAACTTAGATCCCATGAATCATGCTTCCTTCTCAAAGTTTAAGAAACGGAATTTCACTTAAACAGGAAAGTTTTTTAGATCAATTTCATATTAAGTTATTTTAATGAAAAGGAAGAGCAGAGATAAGATTGCTGGACAATGAAGATCTATCAGAAAGATAGGTCCACAGAGCAGAGAAAAACTAGTTCATTTAAAATGTGCTAAAAGGTATTAGAAAAATGACACAAAATATGAAAATTTAGGATTAGAAAAATCAGAAATAAGCTCAGGAAAACATTGGAAATAAAAACATTAGAGAGATGCAGTATAAGCACTATGGATAATGCCTCTAAAAAGAGGTAAAAATAAAAAAGGAATTAAAACAATTTTTGTTTAATTAGAAAAGGACAAAGTAGACCCAACATACAGATAATAGGAATCTGAAACAACAAAACCCTATAATTTTAGAAAATGTTTTATTTTAAATACATGAAACTGTATTTTAAAAGTGGACTCTGGTACCTAAGCAGCAGCTAACACCAAGACATAAATAACATAATACTTTATTTTATTTTTTTTGAGACAGAGTTTTGCTGTTGTTACCCAGACTGGAGTGCAATGGCACGATCTCGGCTCACCGCAGCCTCTGCCTCCTGGGTTCAGGCAATTCTTCTGCCTCAGCCTCCCGAGTAGCTGGGATTACAGGCACGCACCACCATGCCCAGCTAATTTTTGTGTTTTTAGTAGAGACCGGGTTTCACCTTGTTGACCAGGATGGTCTTGATCTCTTGACCTCGTGATCCACCTGCCTTGGCCTCCCAAAGTGCTGGGATTATAGGCATGAGCCATCGTGCCCGCCAACATAATACTTTAAAGGAAGTAAACTTTTTGGCTAGGCAAAACCAGGTGAAATGTAAGATGATTATCAGGCTTTTTTCATGATTATACTTTATGCCTGAAGAAAATGGAGTAACCATTTATTTATTTATTATTATTTTTTTAAAGATGGGGTTTCACCATATTGGTCAGGCTGGTCTCGAACTCCTGATCTCAGGTGATCTGCCCACCTCAGCCTCCCAAAGTGCTGGGATTACAGGTGTGAGCCACCGCGCCTGGCCGTAACCATTTATTTATAGGATATTTTAAATCATCCTGTTTTCTTGAGACTCAGGGTCCTTTTTTTTTTTTTCAAGATGGAGTCTCACTCTGTCACTCAGGCTGGAGTGCAGTGACACAACCTCAGCTCATTGCACCCTCCACCTTCCAGGTTCAAGTGATTTATCCTGCCTCAGCCTCCCAAGTAGCTGGGATTACAGGTGTGCTCCCCCATGCCCAGCTAATTTTTGTATTTTTAGTGGAGATGGGGTTTCATCATGTTGGCCAGGCTGGCCTTTTAACCTCAGGTAATCCACCAGCCTCAGCTTCCCAGAGTGCTGGGATTACAGGCATAAGCCACAGCACCCAGCCTAGAACCGGGGTTCTTAATGTGAGAAAAAGGAGTTAGAGAATATAGTACATGTAATTTTTTGGGGAAAAAAAAAAAAAAGAAATCCTGATGGCTATGAATTTGAATTGGACTTAGTAACTCATGTATGTATATTGAATACATGTAGGTATGTGTGAATATACACATTCATGAATTTGTACCAGTATGTCTAATACAAATTCCTAACAGGATATTTAGCACATCAGCTTGTGGTTCATTTTATTTATTTATTTATTTTTGAGACGGAGTGTCGTTGTTACCCAGGCTGGAGTGCAATGGCACGATCCCGGCTCACCGCAACCTCCGCCTTCCAGGTTCAAGCAATTCTGCCTCAGCCTCCCGAGTAGCTGGGACTACAGACATGCACCACCATGCCCAGCTAATTTTTGTATTTTTAGTAGAGACGGGGTTTCACCTTGTTGACCAAGATGGTCTTGATCTCTTGACCTCGTGATCCACCCGCCTCGGCCTCCCAAAGTGCTGGGATTATAGATGGGCGTGAGCCACCGTGCCCGGCCTGCTTGTGGTTTTAAAGTACCATTTTATTTTCCATTAAAATGAAAATTTGGGGGACAGTAGTCTGTGGCAGGAAATGTAAATGATAAGCCTAAGACATCTTGTCAAAGCAAATAGAGGGGCTGAGTGCAGTGTCTCACGCCTGTAATCCCAAGACTTTGGGAGGCCAAGGTGGGTTGATCACCTGAAGTCAGGAATTTGAGACCAGCTTGGACAACATAGTGAAACCCTGTCTCTACTAAAAATACAAAATTAGCTTGGCGTGGTGGTGCATGCCTGTAATTCCAGCTACTTGGGAGGCTGAGGCAGGAGACTCACTTGAACCCAGGAGGCGGAGGTTGTATGAGCCGAGATTGTGCCATTGCACTTCAGCCTGGACAACAAGAGCGAAACTCCATCTCAAAAAAAAAAAATA